GTATATATATATATAGTGATCACAGTACAAGCAGGGTCAAGAAGTAAGCAAGTGAGGTCCAGCAGGCACAAGGCCTAGCAGAGTGCAGAAACGCTGATGGTCACGAGGCTGAAGCGCCTTGGTGAACACATCAGCAGTGTTGGCCTCAGTGGCCACGTAACGCAGACGAAGCTGACCACGCTGCTGCAGCTCTCGAGCAAGGAAGTACCGCAGGGCGATGTGCTTCGTTCTGTGCTCCAGTCTGTGCTCCTCACACAAGGCAATAGCAGCCTGGTTGTCGACGTACAGCACTGGAGGAGAACGAGGCCTCTCTCCCAAGTCGGTCAGCAGGTAGGTCAGCCAGCGAAGCTCCTGGGCAGCCATGGCTGTGGCGTAGATCTCAGCCTCGCAACTGGAGCTGAGAACAGAAGAAGAACGCGTAGAGCGCCAAGAGACAGAGCCAGAGCCAAGGCTGAAAGTGTAACCCTGAGACGACCGCTGAGTAGCCTGGTCGTCTGCCCAAGAAGCGTCTGAGTGTCCAGTGAGCACAACTCGGTCTCGCCCTCCAAGCACTAGCCCCATGCCCGACGTACTGCACAAGTAGCGCAACACCCTCTTAGCAGCATCCATGTGCTCCTTCCTGTGACGGCCAGGAGCGACATAGCGTGCAAGGATGCTAAGAGGGTATGCAAGGTCAGGTCGAGTGCAGGTCATCAGGTACATGAGGCAGCCCACAAGCTCTGAATACGGGCCACTCGGCTCTACGGACTCATCCGAAGGCAGAGCTGAGAGCGAGTGACCGGTAGGCAGAGGAGTGGACTGAGGCGAGGAGTACGTGAAGCGGAAGCGCTGGAGAACCTGCTGCACCATGTGTGACTGAGTCAGGGTGATGGTGCGGGGATCCGGGTGATCCGCAAGCCAAGATAGCTTGTCAGCTCACCCAAGTCTGTGCACGTGTGTCTCCTCTGCAGCTCCGACTTCACATAGGCGAGTCCTGCAGTGTCAGCAGTGGCAAAGACCAAGTCGTCGACGTACACGAGGATGTAGAAAGGCGGCAGCGAAGTGTCGGTGCGCAGAAACAGCGACGGGTCAGCTGTAGAGGGCGCAAACCCAAGAGCCGCAAGTGTAGTCCTCAGTGTGTCGTGCCACTCACGTGGAGCCTGGCGGAGACCGTAGACCGGCCGCTGAAGCCTCCACTGGGTGCCAGGAGGAAACGACCCAGTGAAGCCAGGGGGGCGGCGCAGCCAGATCTCCTCGTGCAGGCTGCCCTGCAAGAAAGCCGTGCTGAAGTCAAGTGAGTGAAGCTCGTAGTCGCGGTGAGCGGCTATGTGCAGCAGCACCCGAAGAGTGGTCATCTTCGGGGTGGGGGAGAAGGTCTGAAAGAAGTCTACTCCCTCTCGCTGACTGAAGCCTCGAGCCACGTAGCGCGCCTTGAAGACAGGCGGAGAACCCGGCGGCCGCTTCACCCTGAAAATCCACATGCCAGTGACGATGTTCGCCCCAGGTGGGGGAACCTCGTCGACGTAGGTGCGTGTGGACTTCCAGGAAGCCATCTCTGCGTCCATGGCTGTCTGCCACTGAGAGGAGTAGGGACCCGCCATCGCCTCAGCGTAAGTGCGCGGGGTCGGGATGTCTGGTGCATCCGGGTCTCCCTCAGGGGCGACTAGCATGGACACGAGATGGGGCAAAGCAGCAGCAAAGCACTGGAACTCCTCCTGTCTGTCCTCAAGAACGTCCGTGCCAAGAGCACACCCACCCCCGACGGACGGAGGACAGGCAGACTCAGACTCAGACTCAGACGCAGACTCAGCAACTAGGCTAGTAGCGTAGTCTAGGCGACACCGAGCAGCAAAGTCAACCAACTCAGCAACCAGAGCAGACGCAGCGGCAGACTCAAAAGACGGGTCAGTGACGACTGTGGCGAGGAGACGCGTGACAGTGGGACTGGCAGCACGACGGGAGTCAGACTCCGGGTCTGGAAGGGTAGGCAGAGAGGACGCAGGAGGAGACGGCAGAGGGACACGCTGAGGAGCAGTGGAGGGACGCAGAGTCATGTAGTGAGTGCCAGGGACAGGAGGAGGACGCTCACGCGGGACACGACGACCAGTGCGAGCAGCACGAACAGGCGACGCAGGACGAGACGTAGGCTCACGACGCTCTGTAAGGCCTCCGGTGGGACCAGTGTAAGGAGCGGGACCAGGAAGAGGCGAGGCAGGCGGTAACTGTGACTGCGACTGGACAGGTGGCGGACACTCTACGGAGGGAGGAGGACCAGGAGGAGGAGCCTGACCAAGAACCTGCTGAAGGAGCGGTACAAAGTACGGTCGCGGCCGCGCAGCGTCTCCAGAACCAGTAGAGACAGCAGCGGCAGGGTCCTCAGCACCAGCAGCAGCTCCAACGTCCGGGTCCTCAGCACCAGCAGCAGCTCCACCGCTCGGGTCCTCAGCACCAGCAGCAGCTCCAACGTCCGGGTCCTCAGCACCAGCAGCAGCTCCACCGCTCGGGTCCTCAGCACCAGCAGCAGCTCCAACGCCCGAGTCCTCAGTACCAGCAGCAGCACCACCGCTCGGGTCCTCAGCACCAGCAGCAGCTCCAACGCCCGGCTCCTCAGCACCAGCAACAGCGCCACCGCTCGGGTCCTCAGTACCAGCAGCAGCTCCAACGCCCGGCTCCTCAGCACCAGTAGCAGCGTCACCCCCAGGGTCCGCAGCACTAGGAGCACCACTCCGAAGACTGCAGCGCCTCGTGTACCACTCTCGGATCTGCTGAATGGGGGGGAGCTCCTGGGCAGGAGGGGAAGCACTGGTACGAGCTCCAGTAGCACCTCTCCTGAGGCGGCAGTACTGTAGGTACCTCTCCTGCAGCTGCGGGGAGGAGAGAGCTCCTCCAGGTGTAGCACGCTCAGGCTCAGCACCCCCAGACTCAGCACCCCCAGACTCAGCACCCCCAAGCTCAGCACCTCCAGGCTCCGCACCTCCAGACTCAGCACTCCCAGACGCAGCACCCCCAGGCGCAGCACCTCCAGGCTCAGCACCCCCAGGCTCCGCACCTCCAGGCTCAGTGCCGTCAGGCTCCTCACGCTCAGGCTCAGTACCTCTGGCAGGGCGGGAGTCGACAGCTACCTCAACAGGGTCAACCGGGTCTACCTGGGACACACCTGAGGGAGCGGCACCCTGAGGGGGGAGGGGGTCTACCACAGCGGCACCTGGTGCGAGGAAGAGAGGCGGGGGAGGGAGCGGGGCAGTGCGGTAGGGGAAGAGGCGGTAGAAGGGGACGGACTCGTCAAAAGTGACGTCCTGAGAAGCCAGGACCCGGCGCGAGGTGACGTGGTAAAACTGCCAGCCAGGCGCGTCCGGTACAAAGCCAAGGAAGACGCAGGGAACAGCGCGACGGGAGAGCTTGTCCGCGGACGAGTCGCGGACAAAACCTCGGGATCCCCAGACCCGGAAACGCGACGCATCGCCAACCTCTCCCGTCCACCGCAGAGTCGGGGAAGTCTCCGGCAAGGAGACACGGGGCCAGAGGTTGAGCTGATGCGCAGCGTACCGGACCGCAAACGGCCACAGAAAGTGGGGAGCAGCCGCGTGGGTCAGGGAGGTACGAGCGACCTCCATGACCAAGCCAACGCGGCGCTCAGCGACCCCATTCTGCTGTGGAGAGGCCGGAAGCGTGAACGACTGCTCAATGCCGTGCTCAGCACAGTAGGCTGCCAAGAGGTCGGAGGAGAACTCACCGCCTCTGTCAGAGTGCAAGCGCAGGACAGGAAAGTCCGAGCGAAAACGCTTGCCTAGCTGAAGACGGGCTCGGCTGATCCAGGGGATCAAAACACCAGGGACCTCACCCTTGGTGCGCAAGGGGAAGACCGTGGTGTAGCGCGAGTAGTCGTCAACAACTATCAGGAAGTACCTCTCCTGACCCTGACCACGGACGCGGGCTGGGCCCCACACGTCCATGTGGAGCGTCTGCAAGGGAGCAGTCGTCGGGGGGAAGGAGGAGGAGTGAGGAGCGGCGCGCTGCCGCCCCTCGACACAGGGAAGGCAGTCAGGATCAGGCGAGGGTGGGAGGGGAGGGAGAACCCTGGGAAGACCAGAGACAAGCTGCCGTTTGTGCATGGCGCGAAGGCGCTGCACAGACGGGTGGCCAAGTCGGTGGTGCCAGAGGACAGTGTCGTGCGCCAGAGAGCGACACGAGCAGGGGGCGGACAGCTGACCTGACGCAGACGCAAACGCAGCTACCTGAGGGGACTCAGTGGTCAGTGTGTACAGGTCCGACCCCGGCTCCCGAGTGAAGGTAGCCAGGTGGCGACCCGTCCGAGCACACGTGCAGTGTGTCACACGCTCGTAGGCAGGGGTGAACTGGTGAACACCCCCGTCCTGGAGCGCACAGCCTGCCACCAGGTTCGTAGAGAACGAGGGGAGGTGGAGACCTGACAGTGTGCCCGACGGGACCGCAGGACAGGGAAGGACAGTGGAGGAGGTCGCAATGACCGGACCCCCAGAGGGGTCAGCGAGGGAGACAGCAACTGGCCGAGCGAGTGGCTCAAGGACAGTGCGGTCACGAAAGAAACAGCGAGAAGCACCTGAGTCCAGTGTGAAGGTGTGCAGTGCTGCAGTCGACTCAGTACCAGGGGGCACAGACTCACGAGCACCTAGAGCAGCAGCCTCACCAGTACCTGGGGTAGCAAGCTCACGAGCACCTAGAGCGGCAGTGGGACTGGTCAGAATGCCCGGGTCGGGCGGAACACGCAAGTACTGAGCACCCTCTCCACTAGTAAACATCGCATACATGGCAGTGAGAATAGCATCATAGTCTAAAGCCCAGATATCAACCCCCTGCCTCTCCAGCTCACCCCAGCGGGGCAGCTCAGTGCCACCAGGGAACCGAGCGCGCCAAGCGTCTGTAAGGCGCGCGTAACAGCGCTGCGTGGGGTGTGGCCTCCCACACTGCTGGCCAGTGCGGTCACCAGTGCGGATGACGTACGTGCAGGTAACACCACCCGCCCCCCCCGCTGCGAATACCACTCACGGGCGGCCTGGAGGGTCGGGGCGTGCTGCTGACTCTGGCCACCTCCAGCCAGAGCCTCCACGACCACCACCGCCGCCGCCACCTCCTCGACCACCCCCTCCCCTGCCGCTGCCACGACCACCTCCGCCCCCGCTGCTGCCCCCACCCCTGCCACCGCCCCCGCCGCTGCCGTCACCACCCCCATTGCCACCACTAGCCTCCCCCATCGCTCCTCCACTACCACCGCCTCCACCCCCACCTCCTCCGCCGCCACCTCCACCCTTGCCCCCCTTGCTCCTGCGGCGCCCGCTCGAAGCAGACGCGGTCCCGACCTTCTCAGCACCAAGGAGGTCGACAGCAGCAGCAGAGGCGACAGAGGGGAGGAGAGGGGAAGGGGAACACCCCTCAAAGAAGGGGGTGCGGGGGTCGCCACGAGAGGCACCTACGGCGACGATGCTCGCCTCAGCTGCAAGTAGGTCCTTCTCAAGGAGGGCAATGGTGAGCTCAGTAGGGGAGCGAGCTAGAAAGGAGTCCCTGACTGTGCGCAGAGAGTCAGGGAGGCGGGTGACAATGTGGTAGAGAGTGAGCCAGAGCGGGGGGGGGTTGCTAGCAAGGAACTCGGCAGGCATAGCAGCGCGAAAGCGGGCCTCACTAGTCTTGAGGTGGGTGATGAGGTCAGCAACAGTGTGAAAGGAGGCCAGGTCAGGGAACAGGTAGGGCAGTGAGAGGCGGCCTAGTGCGGCAGACGCAGGTGAGGAGTAGCGAGCAACTACGGCTGTGTACAGTTCCTTAGCAGTCTTGCACTGGCCGAAGTGCTCGCGCTCATCTAGCGGTAGGGAGTTGCGAATAGCGAAGCGAGCGTGCGCGTCACGGGTCTGCCACTGGGAGCGCAGAGTGCTGTCAGTAGAAGTGTCAGGGGCAGAAGCGTGGCCTAGGGCGTGATCGTACAGTGAAATGTCCTCCTTGGCAGTGAGCTGTAGGAAGAGGTGCAGGTCATCTAGCCAGGTGTCAAACTTCACTGGGCGGCCCTCAGCATCGAAGGCTAGCACAGGAGGGCTAGCCATAGTAGCAGTAGGAGGAACAGTAGCAGTGTCAGTAGCAGTGGCAGTAGCAGCAGTAGTGCGGTAGGGCAGGGCAGCGCGGCTTTAGTACGGCAGGGCCGAGGTAGTCGTGACGGCGGTGGCAGCTGCTGCAAGCTCGGGAACGGCCGCTGCTGCAGGGACGGCGGCGGCTGCTGTTGTAGTCTCGAGCGGCGGCTGCTGCTGTAGGGTCGGCGGCGGCCGCTGCTGCAGGTACGGCGGCAGCTGCTGCTGCTGGCTCGGCGACTGCAGCTGCTGTAGGGACGGCGGCGGCCGCTGCTGTAGGTTCGGCGGCAACTCCTGCTGCCGGTTCGGCGGCGGGATCTGCTGCAGGGTCGGCGGCAGCTGCTGCTGCAGGGTCGGTGGCGGCCGCTGCTGTAGGTCTGGTGGCGGCTGCCACTGCAGGTCCGACGGTGGCTGCTGCTGTTGGCTCGGCGGCGGCTGCTACTGCAGGTCCGGCTGCGGCTGCTGCTGTAGGCTCTGCAGCTGCAGCTGCTGAAGGTTGGCGGCGGCTGCTGCTGCAGGCTCGGCGGCGGCAGCTGCTGCAGACACGTGCGAAGGGGACCATGACGGGTCCTGGAGGAGCCGCAAAGGGCGGCGAGAGGCGGCGACAGAGCCGCGAAGGGTAGGGCGGCGACGGGGCCGCGAAAAGGGCGGCGACGGGGCCGCGAAATGGGCGGCGACGAGGCCGCGAAATGGGCGGCGACGAGGCCGCGAAATGGGCGGCGACGAGGCCGCGGAAGGGCGGCTACGAGGCCGCGAGGAAACAGTAAGAAGAGGCCGCGACGGGCCGTGAAGGAAAAGGCGCACGGGGCGCGACTAGGGTAGGCGCGAAGCGCGCTCCGGGCAGGAAAAAAAATTTTCGTGAACCATGGTGGGCCCTAGGAACCTTCCTGCTCTATACCATGTCAGGATTGAGAGGAATAGATGATCGATTAGGTTAGGGGAGGGGGTACAAGAGAGTGTCGAGAGAATAGAAGTACCCTCTAAGAAACACCCCTACACAACCTAGAACTAAATTATAACAAACATATAATTTGACACAGCCGTCTAGACCGCCATGGACGACCAGAAAGTCGTAGCAGGCGTAGAGGATACCCTTCAGGCGCGGTTAGATGATGTTCGGGCACGCCACGCAGCTGGCGAGTACGGCGGAGCGAACTTGGACGTTCTGCTCTTTGGGACCCGCGTGCAGTGGGCGCGCGATCACCCAACGATCCGTACTGAGGCGGATGGACTGCCCGCCACTCCCCGACCGGCACGCAACGAAGGCAACGTCGACGAGAGGGTCGACGGCGGTGACCAAGTCGGCCGCGATGAGGGCACGAGGAGGATGAGTGGAGTGATCAGGGCCGCCGACGACGAGGTCGGCGGAATTCATGTGCGAGTGCAGCGGTGGACGGCGGGTGCGGGCAGCTCGCATGGCGACGTCGACGGACGAAGACGCTCCCCGCAGAGGAGTGGAGTGAGGCAGAGCTCCTCTACGCATGTGACGGCTGGCGGAATTGCGCCCGCCTACGGCTATTTCAAGTTTTCGCCGGACAAGATCGCGGTGCCTATACCGTTGGAAGGTCGACGAGACCTCATCACGTGGAGGGAGTCGATCGAGCCCCATCTGGAAATTGCCGGGCTGAAGTGTTTTGCCGACAGCGAAGTGGTGACGCCGGAAGAGGACGACGTCGAATTGCGGGCAGAATTCCGCGCGGCTCATCTACTCACCTTCATGGTCATCTCAAGCTGCTGTTCGCCGATGGTGCAAATCGCGCTGAAGCCGTGTCGGCTTTGACTAGACGCCGGCCACCAGGCGTGGCGGTTCATCATGTCTACGTACCAGGCGACTGACAATCTATACATCGGCCAGCTGGAGGAGCGCTTGACTCACCTCAGGATGGGGGAGCAGGAGTCGGCGACCGATTATTGCAACCGCGCTCGACGGATCCTCGCCGACATGCGGATGGCGGGCGTCGACTACTCGACTGCATCCTATATCACGCACGTCGTCAAGGGATTACCGAGCGGGTATAATCTGATGCGGCGGATGATGGCGATGCCCGGCGTGCACGAAACGCTCAACGAGGATACCCTTTCATCTCGGTGTGTCGCCGGAGAGCAAGGGCTGGGAGGTGCTCGACCTCACCGACAACAAGGTGGTGACGGCCGTAGAGGCGATCTTCTACGAAGCAATGTCGCTGGAGGCGTGGAAGGCGGAGCACGGCCCCGTTTCGACGCGGAAATCTGGTGTCGCGCCGATGGATCCCTCGTCGACGACGACCCCTTTGCTTGCCGTCGACGATGACGACGTCGAGGACGTCCCCCCTTCCTCTGCACCCCCTTCGGCCTTCCCTCTGCCCCTTGTTGCTGATCTCCCGCAGCAGGCGTCGCCGTCGGCCATCGGCGATGAGGGGAGAATTGCTGCGTCGCCTTCGGCGCCGACCAGTGGCATCGCCGGCGGCCGACGTGGCGAAATGCACCTCGGTGGCCAAGTGCAGCAGTCGCCGTCGACAGGGGAGCGCAGGGCAGCGGAGTCGGCAGAAGAGCTGATGGTAGAGGAGAAGTCGGCGGAGCCGGTAGAGGCGTCGGCAGAGGAGTCGGCAGAGGCGAAGTCGGCAGAGGAGCCGGCTGCAGAGGACCCGCTCGACGATGGCGCGTCGAGCGATGTCGTAGAAGTCATCGGTGGCGAGGAAGGGGAGCTATCGGCAGGAGAGCAGTCCGACAACTGCGACGTGGTGGAGGTTCCGGCAGGGGAGCTGCGGCGCTCTACCCGCTCCAACTTCGGCAAGCCCGCAGAGAAGTTGAGCTACCACGCTTGTCTACCGTCGACTCCCTACAGCACACTCCTCGACGACGCGGACGCCGATGTCGACCTGCCCGAGCTCGACCCTGATATGCACGCCGACCCGGAGCATCGCTGGGACATTGCGAACATGACGGTGAAGGAGGCGTTGGCGAGCTGGAAGGGGAAGGCGGTGAAGGCCGCCATGGACGAGGAGATCAATAGCCTTATCCCAAATGGGACATGGGAGTTGGTCGAGCGTCCACGCGGTGTCAACATCATGAAGAATTGCTGGGTGCTCATGACGAAATACCACGTCGACGATACGGTCGCCGGCAAGAAGGCCCGTCTAGTTGTGAAAGGCTTCACGCAGGTATACGGCGCCGACTACGACGAGACGTATGCGCCGGTGGGAAGCTACGTAACTCCGCGGATTTTCCTCAGCATCGTAGCCGTCCTCGACCTGCACCTGATGCAGCTCGACATGAAGAACGCCTTCCTGCAGAGCAAGCTGGATCGCGTCCTCTACATGTACCAGCCCGACTACTATAAAGACGGGACCGGCAGGGTGTGCAAGCTGCTGAAGAGCCTCTACGGGCTGAAGCAGAGTCCGCTGCTGTGGTACTCTGCACTCGACGCGGTGCAGACTGGCGCTAATTAGCAGAAGAGCCAGGTGGACGAAGCCCTCTACTTCAAGGCTGGCGATGGCGGAGTGATGTGCTGGGTGCTCGTCTACGTCGACGACCTCCTCGCCGCCAGCAGCAGCCTCGCGATGCTGAAGGAGCTAAAGGAGCTGCTGGAGGCCGCCTTCGAGCTGCGCGAGATCAAGCCGATCGAGAAGTACCTCGGGCTGGAAATCGTGCGCGATCGACCGTCGAGGAAGCTGTGGCTTCACCAGCAAGTCTACGTCGACAAGCTGCGTCGGCGTTTCATCGACGAGGAGCAGACCGGGCGAGTGCCGAAGACGCCGGTCTCCGTCGACGCCTACGCAGAGCTGACTTTCGACGATGAGGACGCGCAGTCGCGCGAAGAGGAGGAGTATCGGCAGAAGGTCGGCTCGCTGCAGTTCGCGGCAACGACGACGAGGCCGGACATTGCCTTCGCGTGCAGCAAGCTGGGGAGCGGCCTGACGGTGCGGAGCGACAACCACTGGCGCGAGGTCGACCGTTGTCTGCACTACCTCGCCGATACCCGTGACGCCGCTCTGGAGTTTGGCGGCGGACCAGAGTCGCTGGTTCTGGTCGGCTATGCAGACGCCGACGACGCTAGTGACAAGCAGAATCGGACGAGCACGGGCGGCTACGTGTTCGTCTTCGGCAGAGCCGCAGTCTCATGGTCGAGCTTGCGCATAAAGTGCACGACGCTCTCTTCGACCGAATCAGAGTACGTCGCGGCCACCGAAGCCGGCAAAGAGGCACGCCGTCTGCGCTTCCTCCTTGCAGAATTCCGCCTGCTCGACCCAAGGAAGCCGTCAATTCTGCACGTGGATAACCAGTCGGCAATCACGGTCGCAAAGGGCTTGGGGCTCAAGGGCAATCTAAAGCACATGGAGCGACGCTATGCCTGGCTGCAGCACATGGTGAAGCGCGGGAAAATTGCTCTGCAGTACATCCCGACCTCCGAGCAGCCGGCGGATTTTCTGACGAAGGCGCTGCATTTTCCGGCTTTCAACCAGTGCTCCGTCGCAATCGGCCAAGTGCGTCTGGCCGACGTCGGCGACGGGGATGACGAGGTGCAGCAGTAGGTGCCGTGCCCTTCTGCTGGTGCGGTGATCTGCGTGCTATGCGTTGGGTGCACGCAGCCAGAATTTCTCCTTGTATTCTATCGCTTGGGTTCTGGGTAGACCTAGTGTGTGGGGTGCCCAAGCGCGAGCGCGGCAGGGGAGTGTTGACGGGAATGTCAAGATAACCGGTAGTCCTAGGAGCCATAGCTAGGAGAGTCCTAGCTAGGCAAGAGAGTTTAGGCGAAAGAGGAGGGTTGCACTAGCAAGAATGGGGATACAAATAGCAAACCCTAGAAGGGTTGTACTCGCTACAGAGCACCCCACTACAGGCTAGAGCATAATATTCTGACACACCCCCATAGCCAAAGTGGGGTGTAATCAGCAGAGCAAGCAAAGCAGTACAAGCTCAGGGTGGATCACAATGTCACCACACATTCTGAGCACAAGTTTAAGAAGCAATAGTTTAAAGTTCACAATTATGAGCAAAGCTAGTGGTAGTCACAACGGGCAAGTGAGGAGGAGGAGGGCTGGCGAGAGGAGAGTAGATGGGAGGCGACGACTGAAGCTGCAGGCACACGGGCAACAGACGGCTCTGGTGCGACACAGTGGCTACCGGGAGTGAGTGCCCCGGAGTACAGGAGTAACAGGCTCCGCGGCTAAGACGAGCAGCAGGAGCAACGGACCCACAGGCGACGGCGCAACCGGCTCTCTGAGCTACCGGGAGTGAGTGCCCCGGAGTACAGGCGCTGCGTACGACACGACGGCAACCTCCCCTCAACCTCCCCCAACAGTCCCACACCCCTCGACACACACCCCCTGCTGAAACCCTAGCTCCACTCCCATGGCACCCCCCTTAAACCCTAAACCCTCGGCTCCCACACACCCACCCCCCTGAGCAGCAGCTGCAGCAGTGGGAGACGGAGGAGGAGGAGGAGCAGGGGACGGCTCACACTCACGGCACCCCCATACCCTCCACCCCCAAACCCTAACACAGGAACGCGGGCAGTAGCGGGGGTGGGGCGCCGGCAGAAGCTCGGGGGACGGACGAGGCGCGCGCACGGGCCTGCCGCAG